GAGAGTAAAATGCTGGCTCTTGAAGAGGGTGAGTTTCAGCTCTTCAATCCAGTTAGGATTGGAAGGCAAAGAAGGAGCAGTTGGGTCCTCTCCAAAAGAATGTGGGAATTCGGGCTTGTTCACACATTCTAGCCAGTTAGAGGAGCAAAGTTTTACTTTTTTGTCTAAGAGTGAGGGATTGAGTCTTAAGGATTCGACAGGGTGTGAAGTATTTCGCACTATTCTGGATAGCAAGGTGGAAATATACCATGTCGAAAGTAAGTTTTCCTCAAGGTTGCGAAGACGGTCGAGGACGAACATCATTGTCTATTACATCTTCGTATGTACGATCGATGAAAAGAAAGGTTTGTTTGGCCATGGGAACTGTATCAGCCCTTTCGAATACTCAGATAGTGAACAATGTTCAAGCACATGAAAGAATTTAATACAGATTAGGTGCTTCATTTATGGAAGACGGTTGTATGTCTAAGAATATGCAAAGTTCATGTACGTCCTAGGATATGGACAAAGTGCATTGAGTCCACTAATATCACCAAGTATTGGGCATATTAATGCGGGAGGTAATGTTGGCTACATATTTTGTAAAGATGATCGCAGCTTGACACGTGGTACTTGAGGGGCAATTCGGGGAGTTAATACAAGTCTCTAATCAAAGACAGACACGTGACAGGTCATATTGGTTATAATGGATCTGCACAGCACTGAGAAAGTGAAAAGGCGTAAGATGACATAGTCTAACGGTTACTCACGAATTCAAATTCAAAATCCAAGAGGGAAGCCTAACCGCAAGAATGGTATAGTGAGACTGACTGTAAGAGAGCATGATCAACAATCATAGGAGGACATTTCAATAGTTGGAAGCCCACTTCGACGGTTGCCCATGGAGAATATAAATAGTAGGGAACGCCCCAAATTGAAGGACCCAGACTCAGATCCAGAACCAGTTTATTTACTTCACATTTATTTCCAGTTTTACATTTTCAGTTCTTTACATTTCAGCATTTCAATTCCTGTACTGCACTTCATTTCTTAGGAGTAGTCTTAAGTAGTCATTGCTATAAACTTTTTCAAGGCTAGGTCATTTCAGTGTAAGTTCTTATTTACTCAATGAAATTCAGTTTATGAATTGTTCTGTATTTATTATTTCTTATAAATTGCTTCTAAAACAAGCCACCATTAAAAATCTTCTTCATTGAGACTGGAAAATTTTCAACACAATCGTCTGATAATTGGTTAGCAATAAAAATTATGTAAAGACTGATTAATCCTTACTGACACGCTTCAAATTACATTATTAAGTTTCGCAAGCTAAAAAAGCCAACAATATAATATGGTAAAAATCTCAAAATTCAAAAATTGCGAAACGTAGTTTTATAATTGAAAATATATTAACACTCATAAATATAAATTTTAGAGACAGAAGATATCATACCTATATTTTTTGCTCTCTCACTTGGTTATTTTTTGGTTAACTTGCCTCTAAGTAATATTTTTTATTTTATTTTATTTTATATAATCAACTTGTTTAGACTTCAATTGATTATTACAGGGGGCCGAATTGAAAATCAATTCAACGAGAAGAGTACATAGCTGAAAATAAAAAAAAATGTAAAGGGACCAAGGAGAGATATTAGAGAGTGTGGAATTCGCAACGATGTACAACAAACTAACAGCTAGCTCGTGGATTGTCCGCAACACGACTAAGCTTGCGATACTCTCACCAAACCCAAATTCTCACGGGCGTCTATGGTGGCGTGTATTTCACATACCTAACTTCCTCTATTTTAATCACTCTCTCCGGTGGGATCAAAGTTTGACACGGTCGGTACAATGCCTTCAACCAGTTAAAAACGTCAACTAGGATGCTCATTTTTTGTCACCCTGTTCCGCAGTCGCATTTTCAGTTCCAACACATACGGATTTTCCCCCCTCCGATTCAGAAATGGGAGATAGGTTTTGCTTTCCCGCATCGTTTCATCTCAACTTGTTTCAATTATATTTATTAAATATATTTATATATATATAATTTATTTATTTTTATTGTAATAAAGTTAAAATATTATATTTAATATTAACTCTCATTAAATATAAATTATTATTCATAATATATTAAATTATTTATAATTTTTATTAATATTTTTAATTTTCAACTTACAAAATTAATTCGACTCTCGTTTTTCTTCCGTCACCTCTTGATTTATCCGGTTGCTGATATGATATAGGATGAGAGTGAATTTTTATAAACTCACCATCAAACCCAACCGGTGACCCTCCCTAGTGGGTCTTTTTGTTTCTTGTGTTTGTTTCCTTTCATATTTGGAAAATTCATGTGGGCCTTCATTATGTTAAAAGCAAAAAAAAAAAAAAAAACACTAAAATTAAGATGTATTTTTTTTTTTAAAAATTGTTTGAGTTTTACTTGTTTGTTAAATGAACAAATCCAAAACTAAAATTTTAAACTTTTATTAATTGAGCTGAATTAGATTATAACTGAATTGAACTTCAATATAATGGAGTATAAATTACTTTTTATTATAGTAACATATCAATTATATTTTGGATTAGATTATTTCATTCAACATTTCCATTATTCTTTTCGATGCGATTAGTTTTATATATACGTAAAATATTTATTTTGTAAATTCATATAAATGATAAAAAAATAATGAATTAAATTTGATGATAGATATTATTATTATTTTTTAAATATTGCCCTTTATATTACTAGGACCAAAATAAAAATAACAAACCAGAAAAAAACAAAATTAAAAAAAAAAAATTTAAAGACAAAAAAATTCACCTTTCTAGCGGCAATATATTCAGTTCGCCCAAAAAAAGCATCGATATATGTTCTCGACAAAAAGAATTTATGCATAGAGGCCATTAATTTGAAAATTAAGATTTTTTTTGGGTTATCAAGTTTGAAAAGTAAGATTTTTTTTCTTCTTTTAATGTGAATTTTTGAAAAGTGAGATTCACATCTTTACACCCAAGAAAAGTAGGTCAAGATCTGTTTTTTTTTTAAATTTTTTTTTTAAAATTTTTTTTAAATTTTTAAATTTTTATTTTAAGATGGGGACTAGTAGAATATAATAATCTTTTTATGAATGTCTTATGAATATGTCAAATATTGATGGTTTAATGATTGAAGTAATAACTATTTTCCAAATTACGTTAAATCACCTATTTCACTATTTATTTATTTATTTTTTATAAATTTAATGAATCTAGACACCATCTTGCCAGGTAGGGAAATGCTAACTATCCTCCAATAAACAATAATTAATGTTGGTATATATATGTAAAAAGTGTATTATTATAGACTAACCCAAGAATCGTGAGATAATTTTTTGGATTTGAAGGTATTTTTATTATTTAATTGGGAACTCCATCATCTCAAGAGAGCATATGTTTCATTTAGGATGTAAGTTGGTTTTTTGACTTTTGTAAAAAAAATAATAATAATAATTATGATTTGCATGTAATAACTTTTAGTTTGAGACTAAAAAAATTTAATTTGTCTTTTTGTTATTATTTTAGCCTATTCCATCCCTAACCCGCATGACAAATTAAGACATAATAGTTATAGGGAGAATTTGTATATTGTCAGTAAAGTAAGGAGGTCAGTATAATTCCATGAGTTATAAGGAAAGTTTCTACAATTGTCTAAAACTTCAAGGAGGGAAGTGTAATAAGCCCTAAATTATTTATACCTACCAAAACAAACTTTCACCTGCCAAGAAGAAGGAAGAAAAAAAAAAGAAAACAGGAAAGGAAAAAGAAAAAGAAAAAGAAAAGAAATGCATTTAGGTGAAAATTACCAAGCACAAATTGAGTCAATAGACCACAGGCAAAAGCAATATGGGAAATCATTTTAATCCTTTTCTCCTAGCTCAATTCTCACTCATAGTTTCATACTCTATAAGTTGTTTTGGAAGTGACTTTTAAGTTAATTTATAAATTTAATTTAAATTCAATGAAAAGTTAAAATAAAAAAATACACTATTTGATACATTTTTTTTTTCTAATGAATTTTTCATTGGCCTTTTGGTGGACAAATGAGTTTTTACAAGAAATTGACACATTCGTAGGATTTTTTGGTTTTATTAATTTTTTTGTAATATTTTTTAAACAGTTATTAAAAAATAAAAAAAAATAAAAAATAAAAAAAATTACAAATATACATTTTGAGATTTTGCTTAAAACATAGATGGCTATTGTGGTTTAGAAAATTATAAATATTCCATTGTCAAAATTTTTTATTTAACAAAATTAATTGAAAAAATAAATTTTTTAATTGCTTTTATATATAATGATAAAATCATCTGAATTATTAGTTGAAATAATTTTTTGACATCATTAAAAATTATTATTTGATTCTATAATTTATTAATAAAAATTACTATTTATTATAAAATTAAAAATTTTAAAAAATAAAATATAATTTCTAAAATTATAAAGAAAAAATCGCATTTTAATGCAAGAAATGTGTTTTTAATTTATTCATAAAAATAAAGGTAATGTTAGGGATATAAAATTTTCTACCAAATGAATGATCAAATATTTTATATGGACTCATGTGAGATATTTGATCATTTATTTAATAAAAAATTTGAGATTTATAACATTTTTTTAAAACAACAATGTTACAGACCACTAAATTTCTACCACTAACACCATCACTAATGATGTGAAAAGTAAAAAAAAAAATAAAAAAAATAAAAATTAAGACACAAAACACATATGGCAATAGGTGAGACCCACACTAATTAGTGATCTGTATCATTTTTCTTTTTAAAAATAAAGCATTTTAACAAGCTTACCTAAAAGTGGTCACATTTATTGCAAAATCTGAAGGAGCGTGCATCGGATCTCCTATATTCTCCCGCGTGGGATTACCATATCTCTACCCGTTACACCAACCTGAGTGACTCTCTCTCTAACATTTACTTTCTAGAGAGAGAAAAACATGTATGTATACATACATACGTACATACAGAAACCAACTCACCTACGTCTATATAGAGAGAGAAAGCTCGCTCCCGATCTCGAGAGAGAGAGAGAGAGGGTTCGCAACGCTGAACACAGCGAGGTTTCCAAATTACTCCCCGCCCAAAAATGTCGATAGCCTCCACTTTGAAACCGTACAATCACTATCTCCGTTTCGGCAATCTCAATCTCAACCGTTCATCACAGCCTCAATCACCTACGCCCTACACCTTCAGCTTCCGCTCCTCCTCCTCTTCCGCCGCTGCCGTCGCCACCACTACTATCACCTGCCGCCCTAACCGCAGGAGGGAGGTTTTAGTTTTTTCTGGAGGCGACGGCATTGGCGGCGGAAACGGGCGGAGCTCTGGTGGACGCGGCGGCGGTGATGATGACGGTGAGGGAGAGAGAGAAGGAAAGGGAAAGGGATTTGGAGGGAATAGGGAAGAGGCTTTTCTGGCTTTGGCGGAGATCGGACGGTCGTTGGACAGTCTTCCCAAGGACTTGGCGGCTGCGATTGAGTCCGGTAGAATACCTGGATCCATTGTTCTCAAGTACTTTGAACTCGAGAAATCACCGTTTTTGCGGTGGCTGCTTCAGTTTGGCGGCTTCAAGGAACGGTTGTTGGCTGATGATCTGTTCTTGTTCAAAGTATTCATGGAGTGTGGTGTTGGGCTCTTCACCAAGGTATCGTTTGGTTTTGGTTTTGTTCTTTAAATTTGTATATTTGTGTGTATCAGATATGTATTTTAGATAATTGGGTTTTGATCTTCAATATTGTTGGATCTCTCTAGTGCTCTGTTTTTTCCCAACTATGTAAACTCTCTAATACACTAGATCGAAAGTCTGATATAAAAAAGGTTTTTATTATGCTTATCGAATTTACAATTTGTTATTATGTTTCTGTTGGTATAAGGATGTTTATTTGGAGAAGCAAGCATTTCTCTATTTCTGTATTCATTGATGATTTGTGAAAAATGGGATATGGTTGGCTGCAATTTCATTCAGGGTTATGCTCTGCAGTCACAATGTAAATTTATATGATGTTTGACAATAGTCCTTATTTACTGCTTTAAGGTTGTTAATGAAGTTTCAAATGCATAAGAAATATTATTGCTTTAGAGAGGGAAGAAAGGCATCACCGAATGTAATTGGATCATGAGAAAGATAGTGTGGTCGGTTTAAGAATAAAAACATGTCTCTGGTGGGTATACAGCTGCAATTAAGGACACGCATAATGGGAAATGATTAGATGTACAAGTGACTGCGTGCGATTTCCATATCTCTACCCCTTACACTAGCCTGATATGAGGCTCCCATGTATGTATACATTAAGAAACCAACTCACCTACATCTATACAGAGAGAGAAAGCTTGCTCCTGATATATAGAGAGAGAGAGAGAGAGAGGGGGAGGGGGGGGGTCACAACGTTGAACACACCAAGGTTTCAAATTACTCTCCGTCCAAAAATGTTGATAACATCCACTTAAACACTATCCAATCACTTTCTCGGTTTCGCCAATATCAATCCCAATTGTTCATCACATGCTCAACCACCTTTGCCCTTCAACTTTAGCTTATGTTCCTCCTCCGCCACTGCTGTTGCCACCACTACTATCACTTGGTGCCCCAGGCAGCAGCCGGTTTTAGTTTTTTGGAGGCAATGGCATTGGCATTGGGATTGGCGGTAGAAACAGGTGGAGCTCCAGTGGAGGCGGCGGCGGCAGTGGCAGCAGTGGAAGTGGTGATGATGATGAGGGAGAGGGAGAGGGAGAGGGAAATGGAAAGCGAAAGGGATTTGGAGGCAATAGGGAGGAGACTTTTCTGGCTTTGGCGGAGATCGGGCCGTCATTGGACAGTCTTCCCAAGGACTTGGTGGCAGTGATCGTGTCCGATAGAATGCTTGGATCCATTGTTCTTAAGTACTTTGAACTCTAGAAATCGCCGTTTTTGCGGTGGTTGCTTCAGTTTGGCGGGTTCAAGGAATATCTGTTCTTGTTCCAAGTATTCATGGAGTTTGGTTTTCACTAAGGTATTGTTTCTCTTTGTCGCTCGATTATGGTTTTGTTCTTTAAATTTGTACATATGTGTATACCATGGAGTTTGGTTTTCACTAAGGTATTGTTTCTCTTTGTCGCTCGATTATGGTTTTGTTCTTTAAATTTGTACATATGTGTATACCAGATATATATTTTAGATAATTGGGTTTTGATTGTCAGTATTGTTGGATCTCTCTAACTCTCGTGCTCTGTTTTTCACAACTATGTAAACTATCTAATATTCTAGACCGAAACTATTACACCAAAAAGGTATTTATCAAGAAGGTATTGCCTAACAAATTACAACAAAGGTCCTAACAAATATCATGCTTATCCAATTTACAATTTGTAATTTGGAGAAGGAAATATTTCTCTATTTGTGTATCCATTCATGATTTGGCTGCAATCTTCTTTCCGGGTTATGCTCTGTAGTCACAATGTAAAATTGTATGATGTTTGATAAGAGTCCCTATTTACTGCTTCGGAGAGGGAAGAAAGGTATCCCCGAATGTAATTGGATCATGAGAAAGATAATGTGGCTGGTTTTAAGAATAGAAACATGTCTCTGCCAGGTATATCGCTGCAATTAAGGACACGTATAATGAGTCAATGACTAGATGTACAAATGTGAGAAGACAGTTCCCAAATCAAGTAGCATTTTGTATAACTTTGAACTACTTTTAGCCTTTAGGGCAATATTTAGAATGAACAGGTCATGAGTGGTATAAAACTTGACAAAAGGAGTAGAAGTGAAATTAATTTGCAGGATGCTCCCTAATGTGATCGTTTTCTTATCATGGATTGATAATTGAGGGGGTGATTGGAGAGGATGTTACTTGAATAGTAGGTCATGAGTGCACTTGGAGTAATGTGCAATCTTTATCAAATTATAAAGATAATTTTGGAGCCCATTTGTTGCTCGGTTTTGGTTACTCCTTTTAAAACAAATTGCAAATTTGTAAATGTAAATGACATAATTCAAATTTTGTGTGTGCTGAGTGACATAATGGCAACCTTGTATAATAAGAAAATCTATTAGGTACAAAGTTCGAGAGGGCAGACTCTCTCTACAAGGAGCAGTGACATAGTGCATCAGAGATATATTCTCTGAGATCATCTTCCTCCTATCTACCCACTTCCTCCGATCCCCTCCCCAATTTATTCTGGTTGTAAATTGCTTCTCTCAATGGGACATAATCTTCATTTGTTTGATCTATATCTCCAGACTGCTGCAGAGTATCAAAAGCGAAAAGAAAACTTTTTTAAGGAGCTGGAATTTGTTTTTGCGGATGTGGTATGGCATCTTTTAATATTGATTTTATAATATATTTGAGAAGTTTTGCTACCTTTTGGCTCTTAAGCTCAATGCATGATTTTTAGCTCCTTATCTAAGGATAATAGTTCCACCAAAATTGTAGTGCCTTCCAATTGTTTTTTTTTTATATTTCTAACTTCTTGTTTTGTGTAGCTAACATGAGTTTATTTGGGAACATCACTAAAAAAGGCAGTGTTTTCCCTTGAAATTCTCCCCATTTTAAACTTTTTGAGGGACTTTATATTGTTCATTATGTCCAAATATGCATTTTCAATTGGCAAGGAATGAGTTTTCCCCAGGGATGATGAGGATATTTGGTAATGCAAAATATAGAATTAATTTGAAGTGAGTTCTTTTCCTTTTTTTTGTTTTAAAGGCGGGGGAGCTAAAAAACTGGACTTTCCTAAAAAATCAGGATGTATTATAGAGAAATTCATTGTTTGTGGAATATCTACTCTTTAGCTTTGTATATAGCTTTGTATTTTGAATATGTGTAACTTTTAGCATTAATTTTCCAATTCCTTTCTGCTAGGTGATGGCCATTATTGCAGATTTCATGCTTGTCTACCTCCCTGCTCCTTCTGTCTCTCTCCGACCACCAATTAACATCAATGCTGGAGCTCTTGCTAAATTCTTTTATAACTGCCCTGAAAATGCATTTCAGGTTTACTTACTTTCCCTTTTAACTGATGTATTGGGTTAAAATTTTGTGTAGGTTATATAAATGTTCTTTTGCATACAATTAATCATCTGGTCCTCAAAATATCTCTGTAGGTAGCTCTGACTGGAACTTCCTATTCATTTGCACAGAGAATTGGTGCAATAGCGGTAAGGGCAAAGCTTAATTTGCGCATGTTTTATGAGACAATTATTTAGAAGTACCTCATTGTTTTTAAATTTTTTTTTTACAGCGTAATGGGGCAAAGCTTTTTGCAGTTGGTACCACTTCATCTCTGGTAAATTTAACTTTTTCTTTTTCAATAGATTGTTAATTAAGATGTACTCTTGCAGTTCATTGCTTTAACATATGGATTTCTTTTGCCTCCATTACCCTTTTTGTTCTGCTTCTCTCAGTTGTCATTATTAATGAGATCAAATTGTTTGACTTCTGTTTGAGAATCCTTCTTCAGTCTCTTAAAGCATGCATTGTCTTTTGCCTACCAACTGAGATGCAGTTGCAATGTGATCTATTTTCCTAGCACATATTGTAAAGGAATTGTAAAAAATTGAGTTAATTATTCGAGCTCCAAGATTTATTTAGGGGAGATTGGATGAAATGGGATTGTAGTGAGAATTAGGGAGGACAAGTAATCTATGGGATGAATGGATGAGATAAGTGATCAAATATGATGAGATTATATATCATAAGGTTATTTGCACTATGTTTTGTTAAAGGATGGGATAAGTAGATATAATTGTTTGTTACTGTTGGATGAAGGAGCAAAGCAAAAATGATCCAGAGATCCAATCCGCACAATCCCAAGGGGGAGGTGGTATTAGTTATCCCACCCATTTGAGGTGAAACATTTATCCATCTTCAACCTTCTATGAGCTAGTATTTCCCATGAGAAACTCCTATGGGCGAGTTGTCGTATCAAAATGCCAATGTTGTTCCCCCTGAGTGCCATCTAAACTTTTGTGAAGCAAAAGTCTCAATAAATTTGATTTCAACCGTTATTATTTAAAGACATTTTTATGTGCTAATTGAATTCTCAAACAAAATGTTTCACAATTGTATAGAAGCCCTCTCCCAGTCACCATATTTTTTTATATTTATTACACATCCACACATCCCAGCAGAACAATGAGGACCGAAGAAGATAGGACTTCTTTCCTTAGTTGTGTTTCAGATTTTTTTCCCTTTTACTTAATTGCCCTTGATATAAATAACAGAAGGATCAATTTTGTCCATTTTTAGTGGGACTGTGGGGCTGCCACCCACCCCAGCAGAACAATGAGGACCAAATAGCATATGACTTCTTTCCTTATGTTTCAGATATTTTTTACCCTTTACTCAATTTCCCTCAATATAAATGACAGCAGGATCGATTTTGTCCATTTATAGTGGGACTGTGGGACTGCTACCTCCCTAAACATGTAGGAGCTTAGCACTGGTCATATGGATAAAGGAGAATGAAGCTTTATGCCTGGAGGGCCTATTACTAGTATACTCTAGATAACGTGAAGGTCTTTCTGTCGCAACCAATTATCTAGTGAATGTTTGAAATGTGAATCAACCAGAACATTGCTTCTCTCTGTCTGTTTCCATTCCCTAACATTTACCCATGATTATAGTGTTATCTGAAGGATGGTCTGTTTTGCTAGTTTTATCATAATGTTTGCTTTGCTGGAGAATCATTAATACTGTTAGCACCTTTTTGGCATAGTAACTTCTATTACTAGTTCTTCACTTTTAGAAATCACTGTTGACCATGGTTAGAGATGCATGTGTTTGTTCTTTTGTTCGAAAGGTTTAGTTGGCAGAGCATATTAGTTTCTTGATGATAATTTCCCCGTTATGTTTCAATTTTTTTTCTTCTTACTGCCGTATTGTTATAGAAGTATATGAATTTGCTCAATTCAAACTTTTTAATTTTGAAATTTTGGTATAAAATCAATTTAATTTTTGTCCAGGTTGGCACAGTTGTTACCAATGCCTTGATAAATGCAAAGAAGGCTGTTGATAAGTCCTCTGCAGATGAAGTAGAGAATGTACCTGTATTAGCTACTAGTGTTGGCTATGGTGTCTACATGGCAATTTCTAGCAACCTTCGGTACGTTCTTGCACTCTCTTTCTTATCTTCATTGTCTCTACTCTCTACCATATAATTTCTTATCATCTGACCATACAATAGTGTGTTCTTGGTATCAGACAATATTGACAAGTAGACACCAAAAGTTTGTGAAAAGTAGCTTATAGTCACCGAGGATATGACATTTTACTCATAGGCACACTTGTGAAAATGTAAATATGTACTAGCAGACATAATTGTAAGGGGTGCTCGTGGTTCGGTTGAGGCCAGGAAACCTCTAATCCGCCATCCGTCTGCCAGATTGGCGGTTTGGAAAAAATCAATCCGCATCTATCCACTGGATTGGCGGATTGGTTGATGGATGTGAATCGGTTTGACGATTTAAACTTTTACAAATTTTGAACATAATACAACAACTTGTCAATATTTTTTTTAGATAACAATCCACCTCAACATAATCAAAAGACTATCAAGTAAATTGTCAAATACCAATAATAAATAAATATAAGAAAATCGTGCATTATCAAAACTATTTCATTACTTTTTTTCTATTTAAAAACTATTTAATTTGATTTTTTTTAAAAATGACGAAATTAAGTCTTATATTTTTCATACAAAAATACCAAATATCAACACTTGCCATTTGATAAAAAGATTTCTAAATTGAAAACAAATTGAAAATACAACAAAATGTCTAAACTCTTTTTCAATTGAATATCTAAACAAATTGAAAACACAAAATCTTATAAATTACTAAGGGTACTCGTTGTTTGGTGGTTTAGTTACGGCCAAAAGAATCTAAAATCCGCCATCCGTAAAAAACTAGGCGGATTGAAAAAAATCAACCTGCAACCATCCGCTTGTCATCATGCATTCGTCCAAAATGCGGTGGTTCGGTTCGGTTCGGTTCGATCAATTTGGGCGGATTGGAATATCTGCTGAGCACCCCTTGTTAGTCGTTCTCTTTTTTCCTTTCGTTTTTATTGCGACCGCTTTTATATTTTTGTCTCTTTTGTTATAATATTAAGTAAACTTGCATTGAGTGTCCCAAAATATGTTGGTATATATTCAGCCCTCCAAAACAAAAAAAAAAAACATCTGAATGCTACATAACCCAAGAGGATTAGAAAAATACTAGGGATACTAACAGTCTTACTAACACACTCACAAGTTGATGTGGGTCTCATACCAAGTGATGGTTGATCTTATTAAAACTTGTTAGTATGTTAGTAAGATTGTTAGTAAATGTGTAAGTATCCCTAACATTGTTGATAGGATTATGGATCCTTTATGTAAGTGTTTGAGCTACTTAGAGTGGTGCACATGATTGACTTGGTAGGAAGATATGCTAAGGGTGTGCAAAAAGTTGGATTTTGCATATTTATAGGTGGGGGACCAGTGTAATATTATTCGTACAATATGTGGTGCATATTGTATAACTTATATCGCATTGTAGACAAAAGATAGTATCGAAAGTGTTCGAACCACATAATCTTTTTTTGCCCATTCTTCGCAAGAAGCAACGAAAAAAAGGGAACGGGCAAGTCCCAGCTAGTGCCAGTGAGAGTGACAGTGAGTTTACAGCGTTCTAGTTCTGCCTAATAGTACTACCTATGAAGCATGGACACGCCAGATTTCATGCCGTGGCGGTGTCTGACACGGGGACACGCCGGGGACACGTACGGGACACGGCGGGGACACGCGTGTCCACCAAATCTGGACACGCGTGTCCAAATCTGGACAGAGAGAGCAAAAGAGAAGAGTAAAGGAGAAGAGCAAAGGTCAAGAGACAAACCTGGTCTTCGATCCAGTCGACTCGCCTGTCGACCTCCATCCAGTTGATCACCGTAAGTCTCTCTCTCTCTCTCGCCAGTTGACCTCCATCCATGATCCGTAAGTCTCTCTCTCTCTCGTCCCTCTCTCTCGCCTTCCTTCTCGCTCGCGTCTCTCGCTCTCGCTCTCGCTCTCACCCTCGTATCGATCGCGTCTATCGCTCTCTCTCTGCTCTGATCTGATCTGATTCATATAATATATATATATATTTATTAGGTTTAATATTAATGTATCTATTAGGTATAATATATATATGTATTTATTTAATATTAATAAAAAAACATATCTTATATCTTATATTTTATATATATATATTAATAAAAAAAAAGTAGATAAAATAAAAAAAAAATTAATAGGATCATATTTATTTAAAAATATAATAATTAAATAAAATAATTAACTTGTATTAAAATAAAAAAATTTATATAAAAAAATTTTTGCCGTGTCCCTAGCCGTATCTGTGTCTTCATTTTTTTAAAATTGCCGTGTCCGTATGCGTGTCCGTGCTTCATAGAGTACTACGCCTTCCTCCCTGGCTGAACTTTCCTAGCTACCAAGCCCCTTTTCAAACCCTTGCTAGAGGATGAAGGAAAGATGGAAAGATTCTCTGTGGGCTTTGTACTTTCGGTATAACTATTCGCTTTTTAGTCTTGCATGATAAAAGCTTCGTCTTGAAAATAACTATCGCGGACTCGTATCATTGGTTATTTCAATTATGAGATATGGTTGTCTAGTACAAATTTGTATCGTATCACACAATTCAACATGTGTCGCATGATACATTAATCGCTTAATTTCTCATTCACCTTTGGCCCTGTTAATTTTTTTTCCCCTTGCCAATTACCATGGCCGCACTCATTGAATAGTCATAAGCCATGTTCTCAGAAAACCTAATACCAAAGAGACCCAAATCTAGATGAACATGAAAGGAACTTTGAACTCTTTTGTGCTGCAAGTGAATCTAATTTGGGTGAAAGGAACAGCAAATTACACAAACAATCCATTGGGTTTGAGTTTAGACTCAAAATTTGAGTCACAAGACTTGTTGGACTAAGACAATAAACCATAGGATAATTAAGTTTGGGACTACTCATGTCTAAGCAAGTCTTGAAGAATGTCTTTGATTGCAAATCATCGACTAGATGCGCTCGAGATTGAAGCAAGTTGACTCAAGTTGAGCTCGAGTAGAGAATTCTAGAATATAGTAAAAGGAGGAAGGTAACCTTGAGTGTTCTAGATACCTAACCTTTGGATCAAGTTGATCTTAGTCATCCATTGAGGAGATGAATGGCTATGTGAGGAGGAGAAATCTGATTTGGGAGGCATATAAATTGAGATGGTGTGATAGAGAACCACCAAAGAGGGGGTGGGGTGGGGTGGTGTGGTGGTGTGGTGTGGTGAAACCCACTAACCCAAATAGCGTGTTTGTTAGAGATAAGTATTGTTGGTGTTTTGTATTGATGAGTGTCTCTTGTGTATTTATTATTTACATGTATTTTGGTACGAGTGGTTTGTTGAAAATATGACATTTAGAGTTTCATTGTGTATTTTTTGGATAAAATAAAATGGTAGTTTTTGTGGAATAGATCAGTGAGCATGGGGACTTCACCCTTCTTACTTGACTTCTATGCAAACTGATGTAGTTAAACTTGAATTTCTGAATATTGTTGTCAGATGCATCTCCAATTAGGTGTGACTATACCTTGCCAGGTCCTATGTCTCTGACAAGGATATATATTACAGGTTACCGTTAGAAGAGTATATTCAAATGCTCATAAAATATTAAAGTTTTCTGAACAGAATATTTTGCAAGGATGTGTTTTGTAAGGTTTTTTTTTTTTTTTTTTTTTTTTAAAAAAAAGCCAAAATACTTTACTAGGTATGTGTTTTTGTTCAACAGGTACCAAATACTAGCTGGGGTTATTGAACAACGAATTTTAGAACCCTTGTTGCACCAACACAAATTAATGTTAAGTGCAACTTGCTTCGCGGTCAGAACAGGAAACACGTTCTTGGGTTCATTATTGTGAGACTCTTTACCTTTTTTCTTTTAGAAAATTTTACAATCTATTCATTTTTTTTATGTCCTGCCTTGTTAAAATTTCAAAATACATTTTAACAGGTGGGTGGATTATGCACGTTGGATAGGCGTTCAGAAGGTTGAGGAAGTGGAAGAATAACGGGTGCATTCTGTTGCTTGATGTCGAGTTTGAAATTTGAAATGTTGGTTTGAAGCATTAGTTGACGTCACATAAAGTAGGTCAATGGATATTGATTGAATTATTTTGGGATTTATAGGTCTTAGTATACTTAGGTCATATTTCTCTGCTTGTGTGGATGGCTCATTGCCAATCTGATTTGTTGTTGTTGAATTACTTTTCACTTTTGTTTTATTTTCTTTTCATAATGTCTAGGGATAGCTATTAAAATTTCGATTAGAATCACTTTGAGCATAATTTTGAGCATTGAGAAACGTTAATGTTCTGCGTTGGTAATCATAATGGCCTATTAGGTTTAAACCCAAAAAAAAGTTTCGTATTTGTTTGTATTATAAATATAAATATTGGAATTTGAGTTTCTATGGGTAAAATAATATGAATTTCAATTGAATTGCGAGGTTTTGAACGATCTAGTTCTGAACTAGTGTATGATTCTTATTGCGTTTTGTTTGTAGATGTCAATTTTTTGTTTAATTTGGGAAAGTGATTCAAATTGTATACTTAGGGTTCACTTTTTTTCTCTTTTATTTTTATTATAGTGCTTTTGGCTTTTTTAGAAGATAAAAAAACTAGGACAATTACGGCGTCAGTTAATTTTTTATTTTTTGGGCTAAAAAGATATAATTTGATCAAAAGGACAACTATTTGTTGAAATCAATATATTTGTTTCTTTTAAATTCACTTAATTTGTCTATTTATTGAAAATTCATTGAGTATATTTTTCTCATTCAACACTTTATTTGTTGAATATTTTATATTTTTTTACTTCACTATTACTTGTCGCTGTAGGAAACTACTTGACCCTCTTTGAATTAGATTTTTCACAAATTTTCCCTAAACTTGTTTGGTTTACGTTGTTTTTTTTTTGAAAATTGGCTTTTGTTTTGTGTTTTTTAAAATTTTATTTTCAGTGATTTTTTAAAATATTTTATGCATTTTTTAATTTTTTTTAGATACACTTTATCTAAATACTTAAAAAGTATAATATTTATAATTTTTTTAAAAAAATAATTCACCAAATATAAGAAATACAAAAAAAAAAAAAAATTATGAAAATTTAATATATTTTTGTATTTTGTTGTTTTAATGAATTTTTTTTAAAGAGTTTTGGGAGTGAAAAAAAAATGAGGTGGCATTTAATTTTTTTAGCTAGTGATAAATAGCTTAGTGATTTTTTTGACTTATTTTTTTAAAGCAAAAAATTTAACTAGGCCCTATCTGGGAAGGAGTTTTTTTTGACAAAAATTGTTAATAAAGATAAAATATGTTACATTTCCTTTGTTATGGTCCTAATTTGAACTGATTATTGAAAATGTGAATATAAACCTCTTAAACACTTGCCTCTTATAAACTGATTTGTTAGAGTTTCCACTCAAAAACATTTGTATAGTTTGGTATAAGATTGGACCAACTCAGGTGTTCCACCAAAATTTTGAAAGGGTAAGAATAGTTTTTTCTTTTTTCTTTTTATTTTTAAGAATCAGTTATGAGTTCATCAAGTTCCCACCAAAGGAAATAAAAAAGATTAAAAAAATTTGGGTTTGCAATATAAGAACATTTTTGCAACCATATGCTATATATGCTCATGCTGCATTTTATTTAACCAATTATCTCATCATCCTTGCAATCTCTTAATCTGACATCTGCAGTGTCCATGCCATCCACGTGTACGATGTCACAACATTCACTTCTTCCAAACTGTGTGAGAGAAAAGGTTAATTAGACAAATATAAATGACTAGTAAATTAATTTCTTTCACTAAATAATATTTCCCTTTTCATATAGCATCTTTTTGTTATATAAAAAACCCTATGTAGCTTAGAAAATTGTAATAAAACAATTCTTACTTCAAACAAAATTAAGGTAAAAATACCACCACACTCAATTTGCAGCACTGAAGTAGTAATGCTATATAAATTAAAAAAAAATTAACATAAAATGATGTAATAAATTTTGATTTTATTACTTTAAGTTTAAAACTTATAATTTATATTTTTGAAAATACAACAACCACATCATTAGTTTCATTAATTCAGTATAAAAATTCTAGAAGTATATCATTTTCTACAATAGAAATTACCAAAAGAAACATATACATGTTACACACTTACATCAATGAGCTTAGTTGCTGATGAGAAGACTTGAATTTTGGAGATTTTATTTGCAAAATGATTGCCACTCAATGTACAATTTGGGTGGCGCAGTGGTGTCGATCGAAGGTAGGTCGTCAAAATTTGGTTCCTTAAAGTTTTCCCTCCAGATTCAAAGAAGAAGATGTTAGGTATTTCACATGGCCACCTTGTATTGAACATGAACATTGGTAGCTTTGCGTCCTCTAACCATGGCCTAAACGTCTCAAGCGGTCTCTTTAACAAGGTTCGTGCGTAAATTTTTTCATAAATGTGGGCAGAATATCCCCATGAGACAGAAAAAGACCAGTTTCTTGGCCTGTCATAGCAAATGGTTTGTTGAAGCAATCGTGATTGATCAATTTTCGCCGCCTTCATGAGGTGGTTTGTGGATTGGATACGGTCCATGGAGGGGAAAATAGGGTTTACATAATCGAAGTGGTGGAGGGACAACAATGGAGCTTGTGGATGGGCTGATAGGAAACCTGATATATCCCCCCTTAGATCAATCTGCATCCATTAACAAATGCAATATTGACTTGTGTTTGAGTGTGATATTTCTCTTACTTGCAGAGTGAAATTTCACGTAATTCACCATGAAGTTGTAAGATGGTTAAGACATTTTCTTTCCATCGTTGAGTGTGTTTGTGTAAATATTCCAAGTCGTGATGTGTTCTAAGTCTCTGTAAATGTTCTCAATTCGATCCTTGTAGTATTAATTGTTTTAATTTTATCCTTCAACTTTTCATATCGTGTCAATTTAATTTAATTGATAACGTTCATTTAAAAATTGGATTGAAATCAACAGAATAAAATACTCCATTCACTCTCTTCAAGACGATTGAGAGATTTGCATCCAATTTAAAATGGTCCATTCCTTTTGAATGGATCATTTTGTTCTTGATTTCTGTCCAATTTCATAATGAATGTTATCATTTAGATTAGGTTGACAAAATATGAAAAATTAAAGAAAAAATTGATGCAATTAGAATTTTACAGAGACTAAATTGATACAAGAAAAAAATTACAGAAAGCATGAGTATAATTTGCCATTTTTTGTTTGAGAAGGCATAATTACCTGATGAATACCTTTCTCGGCAGTAAAAGAAACTCCAAATTCATCTACACAATACTGAGTAATCAGATCAGCTGAATTGGCATATGGGTATCTCCTAATGCACCCTTCCAAATCCTTCACCATTGCTGCAGCCAAAGGGTAGCTCAATGCTATTCCAGCCCCACCAAACCCTTGTTCAAATGAGAAAAAAAAGTTTGACAAAATAGTCTCTGCTTGTCCCCCAATGTACAAGTACTTACTATGATCATACTTTGCTAGAACACTAACCCAATTGTCCACAAAAAAAATGGAATCATCAAACCCCATCACATACCATCTCACCCCATCATCTCCCTCTCTCAATGTCTCCGAGAGTGCAAGCACCATGCGAATCATTCTTGGTGCTAGATGTTTTGACTCCTGTTCTAATTTAGAGTAATCCTCTGAGATCCTTAGAGGCGGAGAGGTTAAAGGCCATGGTAGGAGATCCTGGGTGGGAGGTTTGTCGAGGAAGAGGTATCCACGTGTAACGTTTGGTCGCCACCATGATTCAACATAAGGCCTCCTCGCTTTCCATGAGTTGATAGAGCTTACAAGTCCAAACACAAGGTGGGTGATATTAGTGGGAGAATTATCACTATGGCAAGCTTGGAAGGGTGAGGTGAACTTGGAGGATGGGTAATTGGAATGCTTGAAAAGGAAAAGGTAAACCAATAAAAGGGCTAGCCCTGAAGGGAAAAGTGTTTTGCATATTCTCAAAGTGAAATTATTGGATGAAAATTGATGTTTTTGTTTTGATGAAGTGAACTTGGTGGTAGTTGGAGATGGCATTGTAAAGAATAACTAAATGATATTGAATGAAGACTATAGTATAGTATATAATCTCAATTCATTGAAAAAAAAATTACGTTCTCATTGGTGGTGCCATTTTGGATACAAACAGTGACATAATAAAAATTCTAATAGGGAAAGAGAAGAAAAGAGGAAGGGAAAAAAAAAAGAAAAAGGAAAAAGTATTTAAACTACTCATTAAATTTTAGAACAAATATTCAATGAGTTTAAATGAAGTTGTTACTACTTGCAATAAAGTTGTTATAAACCATTGATATAATTAGTTGCAGGGATTTAACATTGAAAGCTTTAAAACAGTGAAACTAAAGTCATATCTTTAATTTCCAATGGCATAACTTCAACTAAAAAATTGATAACTAGTGATGCAATTTGATGCATCTCATAATTATAGCTTTTGTGCAAATATCTGTAAAGATGTGCAAGAAAAAATAAAATAAAAAATTGTCCACTCAATAAATATAATTAGTTGATCTTGTTCAAAAAAAAAAAAAAAAAATTACAGTGAGAAATTAAGATCCGCAACATTTAACTTAGGCAATTATCTCATCATCCTTGCAAGCCCTGAATTTGATCTCAGTTATGTTCTTCGCACTCACTTTTTCAATGTCACAACATTCACTTCTTTCAATCTGTAAGAGAGAGAGAGAGATAGTAAATATGAATGACTCATTCATAATATGGAGAGAAGGGGCAAATAATTAACAATGACTTTTTCATATTAAATTGTCACTACAAAAAATTAATGTTTAAAATTTAGAGACAAAATTATTTTATAGGGATCAAATATTTTTGTTGCGAAAAGCGTCATTATATTTTTAGCAACGAAAATTGGACATTAGTGATGAATTATTATCTTTTTGGAAACAAATTTTTTGTCTCAAAAAATAAACTATTTTGAGATTAAATTATTTTGTTCCTAAAAGTGTATTTGTTAGTGACATTTTCAAAATTTTGTCGTAAAAGTTTTATTTTTGACTTTTCGGGACGATCTTTTAGTGACTATTCGCACGACAATAGAAATTGATCCCTAAATGTTTTTTGCAACAAAATTTTCACTTTTAGAGACAAAAAAATTTGGTCTCTAAAACTTGTATATGTTGTAGTGTGTTTATTTGAAAAAAAATTAATATTACTCTATGGGGGGTAAATTAATTTCTTTCCCAAATGTAATTACCTAGTTTTGCTTGAATATTTTTAGGTGCCTAATATTTTCTAAAAAGAGTTAATATGAAACATGATGTAGACTCACCTCAAGGTGCTTTGTCATCGGCGAGAACACCCGAACTCTAGAGATATAATCAGCAGAGTGATTTCCACTTGATGAACAAGCTGGTAACCCACGTGGCGAAGATCGAACATAAGTTGTAACAATTTGGTTGTTCCCTCTGGAACTATCAATGGATTCGAAGAAAAAAACGTGAGGAGCTTCGCATGGATCAACAAAAGGTGGCCACCGCGTGTTGAACATATAGAATGGTGGTTTTGCCTTAGACCATGGCCTAAATGTCTCAAGTGGCCTTTTCAAAACGCTTCTTGGCAACACTTTTTCATAAATATGGGCAGAGTAGCCCCATGATATGGAAAAAGACCAGTTAGTTTGTTTTTGGTAGCAAATAGTTTGTTGCAACATACGAGACTGGTCGATTTTTGCAGCTTTCATGAGGTGGTTTGTGGATTGGAAACGGTCCATGGAGGGGAAGATTGGTTCTACCATGTCGAAATGGTGGAGGGAGAGTAATGGAGATTGTGGATGAGATGATAGAAAACCTGATATGTCGCCGCGCAGATCAATCTGCATTGTATATATCCATTCACAAATAATTTTAATTTCCATTTGAACTTTGTTTTTGTGTGAATTTGTTTAACAAAAGAAAGTTTTATGAAAGCCAATTATACACTTCTAAGAAAATAGCATGCTTTGTTTGTGTTATAATTTTTTGTGTCAACATATATCTTTATTGTGCGTCTGTGCTGGTGAACTTGAAGCCCCAAATGTCTAACTTTGTTTTCTTTTCAATTTTAACATAGATATGTAAACTTGAAACTCTATCCCACCCCACAACTGCCACTTGTTTTTTTTCCTTTTACAATTTCAACATCAGCAATTAATTGTGCATACTTCAAAAACAGAATCAATGGTTTACATTTATTGTGAATAACCCATGTCCCACTAACTCTAAATCTACACTACATACTCACTTTTAGAGTAACATTCAAGATAAATTTTTATAGTTGACAACATTTTTTTATTTCAATATAGATATGTGAACTTGAAAGGCACATCCCAGCCCAAAACTACCGCTACCTCCAGACTATAGTGAATACATAGAGAAAAAATTGAATTAGAAAACCACAAAGAAAACCTCTACCTCCATATTTTTTTGTTGTTGATATTTTCATGTCATGGAATTGTTAATCCCTAAAGAAAATTTTAAATGCATAACATTATATCACAAAATAGAACACAATCTTATGGGACTTATTAAATATATAGGTCACACTCTATACGAGAAAATTGCACGTAGAAAAACTGTATAGAAAAGGAACAATGCTAAATAATTACCTGATGAATCCCCCTCTCAATAGAAAATGGAACCCCCAACTCATCTACACAGTACTTAGTAATCAAATCTGCTGAATTCAAATATGGATATCTCCTCAAACACCCTTCTAAATCTTTAACCATTGCTGCAACCAAAGGATAACTCAAAGCAAATCCAGCTCCACCAAACCCTTGAGCAAATGAGAACCAAAAATTGGACATAATAAACTCCGATTGTCCCCCAATGTAAACGTACTTGGTATGATCATATTTCCCCAAAATATCAACCCAATTGTCCACAAAAAAGATAGAATCATCATCCCCCATCACATACCACCTCACTCCCTCGTCGCCCTCCCTAAACACCTCCAAAATCGCATGCACCATGCGAGCCATGATTGGCGCTACATGTTTTGACTCTTTTACGATTTTGGATATGTCATTGGACACGCGAAGAGGAGGAGAGGAGGGCGGCCAGGGGAGGAGGTCATCGGTGGGGTGTGTGTCGAGGAAGAGATATCCACGTGTTGCGTTGGGGCGCCACCATGACTCGATATATGCTTTTCGGTATCTCCATGCATTAACAGAGCCTACAAGGCCAAAAACAAGGTGGGTAAGATTGGTGGGAGAGGAATGATTGGTATGAGTGAGGTTATGAGGTTGCTGGGAAGGTGGTGTCACTGGCCATATGTGTTGTAAGGGGGTGAAGAATTGAGAAGATGGGCAGTTGGATTGGGTAAAAATGAATATGTAAGCTAAGTATAGGACTAGTCCTGAAATTCCAAGAGTTTTGCAGAGGTTCACATAAAAATTATCTGATGAAAATCTGCTGAACTTGATGGAAGTTGTTGAAGAGTTCATGGTGAGAATGACGGAAACAATATGTTGATGAAGAACTAGGTGGGAATGGGATAGAAATCAGTCCGTAGGGACTTGTATGTCTTGACTTTGTTCTGAAGAATCATTGTACACATTTATATAAAGCTAAGTTAATTAGAAGTAATGAATAAATTATAACTAGCCCTATAATTTTTGCATAATTATATAATTATATAGCACTCTCTTGAAATATAAATTTCATACTATATGTATTATGTATTGGCTCATACCGTTAGTCATCAAACGGATAAAAAGAAATGATGAATATGACTCGAGTAATGCTAGAGATTCAAAAGTTATATTAAAATTTTTACCAAATATCTTATATGAATGTGTGATAGACATTTGATAGAAATTTTGATAAAACTTTCAGGCTCTCTAACATTTTTCATATGACTCACACGACATGAAGCTCACATAGGTTCCACAACTTCATAAGTATTTTTATAAAATATTTAATAATATATGTAAAGTCTTTAGCATTTTTTATAATAATTTCATCAGATTCATTAGCACTGTTAAATTTGTCATGATTGTAAAGAAAATTAATGTAATTTTGTTAAGATCACCATAGTTGTAAAGAAGATTAATTAATTTATAGTAAAGAAGATTAATGTAATTTTTTGAAAATTATTGCACAAACTATAATAAATTCATTAATATGAGTTCGCAAATTACGGGATGAAGTGTGTGGTTGAAGTGCTAGTTACTCTTATAATAGCTGTCTATTAGTTAGTAATAAGGTCAAACAAGAACAAATCTGTCTCAACAAGCATCATTGCATCATATAATAAATTTATGAAGCTGATAACCCTATCCTACTCAATTTTACTAAATTAGTATGAAGCAAAAAGTCATACAAAGTCTGCTCATGTCACCCTTTGCTTGTAAGAGTTTTCCTTGAGCACATGGAATTTCTTCACTTACACTCGTTGAATTTTCTTTACAAGAAATTGTGGTTGAAAAAATTATAATAATGTTAAGACAATAATTATTTTTCAATATAATATAGTTATTATCTTATGTGTTAATATTGTATTGATTTAATGAGTCCATCAATTTGTACTTGTTATTAATACATTAGACGATAAACACAATATGATAACAAAATAAGACCATGTGAACTTGAACTGCTCAGCATAAAAGGGTATAATTTTCCTTTCTCTGCATAGCATATTAAAAATATAAATAATAAAATTATTACTATATTAGAACATGTGTTCAAAAATTATTCCTCTTTAATAACTTAAAATTTTAATGAATAACTATAGTGAAATTGTTATGCAAATTGTCTAATTGGAAACACTTATTTAATTTAAAATTTGAAATTGCATACTTAATCAGTTTTATTTTGAAAATTTAAGATGTATGTCAAAACTTTTTATATTTTCAGGTTATTTATATTTTCAGCTAAAAAATTTATAAAAAGTTTTAACTTTATTTTTTAAGTTGTAAATAAATTTTGCCAAAAAGGTCTTTTAACTGTCTTATTATCCAAACAATAACACTAAATTATATACAATTTCCTACTAATTAACATACGAATGCCAAGTTTGGAAACTTGTAAAAAAGTTAAAAAGGTTAAAAAGTTACTCAAAAAGTTAAAAAATTAATACTATTCATCAAAAATCAACAATTACGGCTGCACAATTCCCAATTTGAATTTTTCCCTATAAATCAATTTTTATAATTTTTTATTATACATTTTTTTATAAAAAGTCAAAAAGTTAATCCAAACATCCATATTTTCAATCTCAATTTTTTAGTTTAAAAAGACAAAAAATACACTTATTTAGATACTCAAACAACCCTTAACTCTATTGCATATAAGCACATCTCTCTGTCTCTCTCTCATTGTGCATTAAAGTTTGGATCAAATCAAATCAAAAAAAAAAAAAAAAAAATCACAAGGAAAAAGGACATGCAAAAACAATAAATAGAAAATTTTGACTCTTGGACTGCAAGGCAAAAACACCTTTTGAGGAGCTATATATATTTAGAGCAATGGTGAATTTTGGTTTGTCCAAATATTTGGAATTTGTACATACCGATTGTTTGGTCGGTCATCTGATAATAAGAGTGATAATCGCGATTGACAAGACTTGTATTAATTGTCCTGATGGTCATCGAAGAAGTCAATCAGTATGCACAAATTTAGATGATTCTAATAAATTTAAATTCGGTGAATAAATTATTTTTGATGTATATATTGTACATGCAAATTTACTTTTCAAGTCATATTTACTTTTCAAGTCATATTATGTTATGTTCTTCCTAGCTTTGATTGTAAAGAGACGCTCGTGCATGTGTGTGGTTTAAGGGATTAAATAACTAATATTGTGTTATGTTCTAAAGTTTGGTTGCAAAGATACTCCATATATCCATGTGCGTTGTGGATAAATTATAAATACACCCTTTAAGTTTATTTAAATTATAAATTATTTCTTGTAATTTTAAAAATTATATTATATTTTTAAAGTTTTTAATTTCATAATAAATAAGTCCTTTTATTAATAAATTATCAAATTAATTAATAGTTTTTAATAATGTTAAAATTTTATTTAAATTAATAATTTAAATAATTTTATTATTTTATAGGTGAACAGTTAGAAATTTTACTTTTTCAATTAATTTTGTTGAATAAAAAATTCTGACATGGAGGTATTTATAATTTTTCAAACCACCAATCCAAATACATGGGTTTTCCCCTCTTTTTCTTATCCATTGGGTAGGGTAAGTGATATTTTTTAAATATCCACAGGGGATGGGTTGGGGATGGGTACCCACTAATTTCCCCATATGTTTTTTTTTTAATTTTTTTTTTAAGATTCACAACCAAAACTAAATATACATTCAATCTTTTTTTCTTTTATTTATTTATTTATTTTTTCAGGTTCACAACTTCTTTTTTTTTTTAAAGATCCACAACCAAAGCTAAATATACCTCCAATTTTTATTTTATTTTATTTTTAAGGTTCACAACCATTTTTTTTTTAATTTTTAAGATTCACAACCAAAGCTAAATATACATTCAATCTTTTTTCTTTTGTTTTTTTTAAATTTTTTTTTAAGGTTCACAACCAAATATATATATATATATATATTTTTTTTAAGATCCACAATCTAGATCGATCTGTACAATTGATAGCTCGCCGACAAAAGAGCTGACCAAAACAAAACAAATTAAATTTCATTAAATAATGACATTTGTTATTTGCCTTAGTTTTTCTTCACAATCACTCAATATAAATTATTAGTTGATTTTAAAACGTCACACAATTATATTCCACACCATTCACGATTTATTATATTTTTTTATATTACTCAATCACTCAATATAAATTTATAAATCTCACCATTTCTATCCATTACAATAATATTAGAGCATGATAGGGCCATGTCCTAAGACCAACTTACTTCTTCTCCACATCTACACGATTATAAATCACATCGATCACATCATCAACTCAAAAACGCCCCAAAATCACCAAACAGTGTCGGTTTAGCATG